ACTCTATTTCTCTTTAAGACTGATTCACTCTCATGTAGTCCTGGGTGGCCTTGAACTCACAGAGATCCATCGGCCTCTGTCTCCTGAGTCTTGGGATTAAAGGTATATGCCACTTCTTGCCAGCCTCTATGGTTGACTAGTGTGTCTATCTTTGCATTCTAATCATCAGTTGATCATAAATAAGAGAAGTTAATTTAGTTTTCATATTAACAGGATGAGGTTTGTGCTTTGGTATTTCTTTAGGGAACCAAAGCACAATTGAATAAATAGGATTTCTAAGAAATGAATTAATCCTTGTGTTTTAGTCTTGTTTACCTGTAGATATCTTAGTCTAGATTCTGTGCCTATAAAAGCCAAGATTATGGTGTCATATTATGTGACTTTTACTGGGGAAGAAGTTTCTATTCAACTCAAATTGAAAGGACAAGCCAGGTCAAAGAAACAGTTTTTTTTTCTAAACCAGGGTTGGACAAACAATGAGTTTATTAGCATTTATTACAATAACATATAGATGGGTTACTTTCATAAGCATGGGTGGTTAGGAACTCAGTCAGTTGCATCACCTAAGGGCCCCCATCAGCCTGAATGATGACTAGCCACAGCTGTATCACTGGAGTCCTCTGTATAATTTCAAGGCAGCTAGCTATAACACTGAAGGTCTCCTCAACCCAAGGTGCTATATAATGCCTATAGAACTCTGAGGAGAGGGAGAGGACTCAGATGTTGTGAGTTTCTCGAGTCTCCTCAGCTCTTGTGAGTTTCATGAGCCTCATTGAATTCAGTAGGCTAATGACTTATATGTGAACCTCACGAGCCTTCTCCCTCCCTCCAGTTGGAAGTGTTTCAATCTGGAGAAAAGATCACACAACATAGAGCCTTCATCCATCTTGGTCAGCTATCATCTGTGTACCATGACTATAAATCCCCTAACTTGCTCTTCATACATGGGTCCCAGTGACTTCAGAATATTTTTTTAATACAAGGAAAGAAACAAACTCAGAGTATAAAATTGCTGACAGTGGTAGAAATATAATTTTTAGGTTAAAATAACTTGTCCTTAAAAAATAAAACAAACTAAGGTCCTTTCCAGTTCTAGAAACAAAATTCTTAGCAAGGATCAAGCATTTTTATCACTGGTTTCACTCTGTCTCTTTTGGATGCTTGTTTGAGAAAATGTCTTTCTTTATATTTTAAGAGTTTTTTGGAGGATAGAGAATGACAGAGAAGGTTCTCAACATCTACTGTTTTAAGGAAAGTCACAGCAGACTTCAAAGCTGTGTGCACTGACATTCAGTGGTTGTATTCCCAGTATTATTATAGTAAAGTGGTTGACTGTAGAAAATTAATAAATATTGAACCTAAATATTGAACATAATGAAAAAGTAAGGGTTGGAAAAAGAAAATCTGTGTAAAGGTCCTGGCTGCCTTGCAACTGGTTTTGTAGACCAGGCTAGCTTTGAACTCAGTGAAATCCCCCTGCCTCTGGCTCTGAAGAGCTGGGATTAAAGGTGTGTACCACCACTGCCTGACAGAAGAAAACAATCTTACAAGAAATCCTAAGGGCTGATTTAGGGATTATTTTTAGGAAATTGAATTCCTAAACCAGTATTGTCTTGTAGCATTTCCTTGACAATGGAAAATGTCCTGTATATGCTCTTAATAAAATGCTAGTCACTAATCATAAATGATTTTGAATAGTTGAAATGGGGCTAGTAAAACTAATAAACTGAATGTTAACTTTGCTTATTTTTAATTAATTCATTTTAAATAGCCAACTAAGTTTAGTGACTATCACATTATCCAGTGATTTCCAGAGAAGATATCATACACGTGCTGTGGTAGCGTTTTCAGTTTTCTTTTAAATATAATTGCAAGCTCCTTTGTTATAGTGTTTGAGAAAATATAAAGGCAATCAATGTTTCAGTTATGAAAAGTGATGAAAGTAATGTAATAATCAATACATGCATTGCATTACCTGAGAGATACTTATAATATATACTGCTTGTTTACTATCATTAAAATGTATACATGTGTAAGTATATTTTTCTATGTGTATATTAAAATCAAAAGAAATTAACTTACACTAATATATCTGCTATTATATGTACATATGCTTATTAATATATATGCTGACTTTAATATAATCAGTGCATAGATTAATTTATGTGTACATAAATAATGATATAGTCTGACTTTAATATAGCTAGTCTTTATATATTAATACTTTGAAGTCAAAATACATTAAAATTGATAAATAGTATATGCATGAAAGTCAACTCCAGAATATGTGACTAATGAAAATTAATGAGTATTTTCAAAGTGTGGTGATCTTATGCACATTTATCATTGTCTATCAATAAAGGTGATTTCAGAGTAATTATGGTAGGAAGAATATATGGGGGATGGTAGAGAGACATTAAAACAATGTCTGGGTCTTTTGGGAAATGGGATGGTGATTGATAAAAATGTGAGGTGATGATGGAAGAAGGAAAAAATAAGTCTGAATTTTATTACAACTGGCATTGACAAATTGATGCCTGTTCTCACTAATGAGAATTTGTTTTGTATAGCATTTAAATAATGGAAATATATTGGCTAACAATAGATATACTTTTAAAGTGCATCTATAATAATCACAATAAATTTTCCACAAGAATTATGATGAACATTGAACTCACCATTAAATACAAGCTCCATTGGTTACTTTCTGTGTGATTTTTGAATAAGACCTAACTGTCCCATACTAAGTGTCCGCAACAGAATTAGAAAAAATTGAACCACTCAATTCAAAGGTTTTCAAAGAGCATGAAATGATATAATAAATGTCAGGTACTTAGTATAATCTTTAATACATCAAATAACCTTTCAAATGATAGTTAATATTAAATATTGATGAAAACGCTTATAAGGGATAAGAAACAACATTTAAAATCCCTTGTGGTATGTTTTAAGAATGGTGATGAAAATATAATGAGGAAAATATATAACATTTAGGGGATACTGTCACAATACAGATAACATGGAGGGCTGCTAAAGCCCAATGGAAAAGTGTAAAACTTCCAGATTGGAAATAAGAAGATCATAAAAGAAGATGTGAAATTAAAGCATTATAGATAATCTTAGGAGGAGAATTATTTAAATAGAGAAAAATCACTTAAAAATACATTTTTTGTAGCAGTAATGAAACCAGAGTTGATGGGAACTAGACATTGAAAACCTACTTGGCTGTGGAATGCCCACATGCTCTTCAGATTTTCTGAGAACAAAGCAAAGATAAAATAAGAATCCACCAGAATTATGGAAATTTTGCATACAAAGGTGTAAACTCCATAAGGGGGCTATTTCTGTATTTTTTCTCATCTTATACGTGGAAAACACGACGTATGGGAACTAGTACATATGGGAACTGGTCATAAGATTCTGCACGACAAAGCCAGACAGATCTAGTATTGCACTGGAAGAAGCGTGGTAATAGGTAATGGCAAGCTGGGCCAGAAGAAGGCTGCATATAGTAATGGGACCAGATCCCAGCTGGAATGTTCCTGCTTACTCTCAATCTATAGCAATATTAAAGAACCAGATAACTTCTGGTGGCACCAGGATCCATTCCTAAAGCTCTACGTAGACTGTAATAATGCTTTTGTCTATTTGTAGTAGCCTGGAAAACTATGTGGGAAAGCAACAGGATTGCTCAAGGCCAGGTGTGGTCATTGTAACTCCAGATGGTTATGCTCAAATTAAACTGAATCCCCACACCCAGTTATGAGAGAAATGATTTTTAGTGGAAAATAATAGATTGCTAAGATAGTTTATACACATATGAGAGGATCATTTCTTTCTTAATACTTTAAAGGATTTAATTTGAGATTTGATTTCATTCTTCACTGTTGGTTAAATTAAATATAACATTAAAAAGGTTTTGTTCTTTGATCATTGTTTTTTGAGTTTTCACTATGCCTGCTTTATTCAACTTTTATTTCTAGTCATAGTTTTCCTAAATATATCTCTTTAGACCCAAGCTATCTAGAAATTCAACTTTACATACTTAGTGATATTTACTAGATGTGTGTGTTTTGGTCTCCGATCAGTCTCTAAAACTTAGTATTTCTGAAGTTTTTGGTGGTAACTTCTTGATTCCTACAAGTGAAATGAAATTTTCTAAATCAGACAAACAAGAAATCTCTGCTATCTTTGAGTCTTCCATCTCCTTTGCCTGTCATATCCAATCATTTGCCAAGCTATACCACTTTTCGCAGTTCTACTACGAAGCAGTTGGTAAAATAGTGTGAATGACCACTCTTGTGAAATGCTACAGTGTGAATGGAATTCCTCCAACAGTGATTACCAGATCCACCAGAACGCTAGACATTCTCTTATAGTAGCTTGTCACCCATGAGAATGTGTGACAAGAATAAAACAGCAGCATTGTTAGGGTAGTGCTGTGTAGTTTGGATAGATTTTCTAAAAGCCCATGTGCTGAAGATTTGATTCCCTTATTGCCAAATTATTGGGGTACGGAACTTTTAGGAGATGAGGCCCTAAAGCAGTGGTTCTCCTAACCTGTGACCCTTTAATAAAGTTCCTCATGTTGTGGTGACCCCCAACCATAAAATTATTTTCATTGCTACTTCATAACTGCAATTTTGCAACTCCTATGAATTGTAATGTAAATATCTAATGTGCAGGATATCTGGCATGCAACTCTATGAAAAGGTTGCTTGACTTCCAAAGGTGTTGTGGCCCACAGACTGAGAAACACTGCCCTAGAGGAAGGAAGTAGAGTCTTGAGGAGGATGATTTGGGATTTCAGAATCTTTGCTCCTACACTGTCTCTGCCTACACCCATCATGAGGTGAATAGCTCCCCTACTCACTCACCACTATGGTATTCCCCCTTGCTATTGCTCAAGTCTTAGATCATCAGACAACTGCCCAAAGGCTGAAACAGCTCAAACAATGAATTAGAATAAACCTTTTCTTCTTGGTTACTTGGTATCTTAGGTATTTTAGCAGATAGAAATTGGGGGAAGATTGAGAGAGGAATGGTCCATGGCCCCGCCAGAAGAGACACTCACATCCTCAACCTCTTGGAATCAGCAATGTTTGAGATTCTTTTCTCAGGGTAAGTTATCAATTGTACAACTTTGTTAGCATCACATGGTTATAGTATCTCTGTAAAAGTCACTGAAGCACCAACCAGAATGTAGACACTAATCACATAAGAATGGGACAAGAGAAAAACAATTTGCTTTCCACACTGTTTTAATGCATTTAAGAAATAGTCTGGTAAGGAAGGGTTTGAAGAGCAAACTAAATCTTGTTTGTGGCACAAAATAATGAGCAGTGTTCTATTTTGTTGCCCCCTTGCTTTTTTGTAAGTTCAGGATACATTTTTTTGGTGTTCCTTAAGCTATGCTTCTGGCATGATCATTTGTTTTAGGTTTTGCACTCCCTTCTGCCCCTCAATAAATTGATAACAATATAGTTAGGTCAATTTATACAATACCCTTTTTATTTAAAAGAAAGAATAGATTTTTGCATCTTGCCTTACTGACAAGTTTGCAAATTGCCAATCTTTGCTCCTTTCTCTCTCTCACAATTCTTCTTGGTGGTAATTAAGGACTGTAAATTTCACTTTATCATTTGTGTTTAGAATACTAGCATAAATCATAGTAATAGCACCGTTTATTTCAGTAATGCCAGCTTGCCTGCAAATCACTTGTAAATTGGTTCCATAGATGTACCCCCATCAAATTAATCAAAAAACCACCTGCATATATTTTCTGAGCTTATTTCAAAGGCTTAGTAACAGTGAGGAAGAAAGGCAATGCTGACCTTTTCATTTTTATTTATTTATAAATTCTGAATAGCTCATGCATATGTTTTCACTTTGGACCTAGAAACATCTAACTGAGTGTTTTACATAGTAGTTATTCTTTAACACACAGATGAGACTTGTGTTTGAAATAATATACCTGCCTAATGGTCCTACTGTGCTCCACATACAGTAATCATAATTTTTGACTAACCATAACACTATATATATTTGAGAACTGTGGTAAGCAATACTTTTGTGTTCTTCAATATTTTTCCCCCAAAATGAGTATAGTAGATTTCAGTGTTGTGAGTCAGACCATAGTCACTTACATTTTCCTCTTGTATCCAGGAAAAATATTTTGTTTTTTTTTATTTACAGTGTTTACTTATTTGTGTATGTGCGAATGTGTGCCATTGAGGGCAGAAGGCAACTCTCCTTCCATCATGTTGATTCTGGGGATTCCCACTCAGGTTATCAGGTTTGGTGGCAGCTCCCCTTGCCTATGAAGCCATCTTGCTGCCCTGAGGTAAGTGATTTTGCTGTGATGATGATAATTTGTTGTTTTGCTCTTTCTTATGCTATTTGGAACAACAATGAAGCAAGTTCCAATTCCAGTTCATGAGAGGATGATCCAGGACCATGTTTAAGTAAGAGCTTAGCCAGTTTGAGTGTGCTATACTCCTCTGGAAATTTCCTGACAAAACACATTCATGTATAACTTGCCTCTAATCAGTCTTTAAAAATTCATTTTAAACAGCAAAAATAAAATATAATAGGATAAAGCAAAAAACATCATATTGAAGTTGGACAAGGAAAACCAACAGAAGGGAAAGAGCCCAAGAGAAGGCACTAAAAACAGAGACCCATTTGTTCACATACTCAGGAGTCCCATTTAAAAAACAAACAAACAAAAAGACACTTAACTGAAAGCCATGATACATACACAGAGGACCAGGCACAGACCCATACAGGCCTAGCCCTGTGCTCACTGCTTCGCTCTCTGTGAGTTCATGAGTCTTGCTCAGTTGATTAGAGGGACTTGTTCATCTGGCGTCACAATCCCCTCTGGCTTTTACATTCTTTGTACCTCCTCTTCCACAGGGTTCCCTGATCTCTGAGGGGAGGTATTTGATGGAGATATCCCATTTAGAACTGTGCCCAATCTCTTTCTCTTTCTCTTTCTCTTTCTCTTTCTCTGTCTCTGTCTCTGTGTCTGTCTCTGTCTCTCTGTCTGTCTGTCTGTCTGTCTCTCTCTCTCTCTCTCTCTCTCTCTCTCTCTCTCTCTCTCTCTCTCTCTCTCTCTCTGCTTAATGTCTGGTTGTGGGTCTCCTTATTTGTTCCCATCTGCTATAGGAGGAAGCTGCTCTGATGACAGGTGAATAAGGCACTGATCTATGAGTATAGCAGAATATTGTTAGAAGTCATTTTATTGTTACTTTCTTTTAGACTCACTATATTTGTTTTTACCCTAGGTCTCTGGTCTCTCTGGTCTCTGTCCCCTGGTCACCCAAGCAGTATTGTGTATATATTCCATCTCGTGGAGTGGGACTTAAGCCAAATCAGACATTGGTTGGTTTCTCCCAGAAGCTTTATGCCACAGTTACCTTAGTATATCTTGCACACAGGAAGCCATTGTAGATCAAGGGTTTTGTGGCTATTTTGGTATTTACATTTCTCTTTTGGTAACCTTATGAGTACCTTCCCATACCAAAGACACTAGGAGATGGGGACAAAGGTTCTATGTAGGCACCAGCTCACCCTCTCTGTGTTCAATGAGTTGTGTGGGTGTTGTTATCAGCAATAGAGTCTTGCTGTCCATTTGCAGAGAGCAACTTATCTTGTGTAACCCATTCTTGGTGATGGATGATTTGTTTGGTGGCAAGAAATGGCCAGTTGGGCCTCTGTTGCCTTCATTATTTGTAGACTTCTTAAGGATTACCTTCATATATTTTAAAGACGTTTTCATAGCCCCCTCTGAAGCCCCTCAATTCCAGAGCTGTTTCTCCCACATGCCTTCCCCCACCTTCCCACCCCCTTCCGCACCTGTTACTTCTTTTCCTTCTTTCATCTCACCCTCAGTCCATCCATAAAATCTATTCTATTTCCCCCTCCTGGGGAGATCTGTATTCCCCCCACCCAGTACCTCCCACTACATACACGACCTCTCTGGGAGTACAGATTGTAGCTTGGTTATCATGTATTTAATAGCTAATATCCACATATTAGTCTTAACTCAAGAGAAGGAAGGAAATTTAAATTTCATAATGCCTTACCCTTAGTCTTCTCTGGAGTCAAACATTATTAGAAAGAGAAAAATATTATTTAAACTTTATATTTGGGATTTCAAATCTGAGCCAGTGTGAATTTTAGGGTACAGAGATGAAAAATATAATTAATATATATAAACTTATATCTTTATATAGAACTTCATTCTGTTTCTGTTATATAATCTTGCCTTTGAAAAATATCATCTGAGTATGCATTTGATACTTCACTGTTTTTTCTCCTTTGTAGTCTTTCAATTTAGCATACAAAGTCAGAAATAAGTATAGAAGGATTAATATTCACGAAAGCCTGCCCTTAATGTCTTATTATGAAGATATACCAAGTTTCTTCTAAATACTTAGTAGTTGTATCTATATATTTTCTGTCAAAAAATCTAATGTAATAGATGATGTTGAAGGTGTCACACTTAGGAATTTGGTGTAGGCCAAACCAGATCTACTCATGGCTCTTCTCCTTTTCATACAGTTTTTTAAAGGGAATCAAAAATAACTCACCTGAAAGGGTTTTTTATTGTCATTGTTTTCTTTTTTGTTGTTGTTGTTTCTTTTGTTTTTGAGACAGGGTCTTCCCACATAGCTCTGGTTGTCCTACTACTAACTATGTATTCCAGGTTGGCCTTAAACTCAGAGAGATCTGCTTACCTCTGCCTACCAACTTCTGGAATTAAGCACATGCACCAATATGCCTGGCTAAGGTTGTTTTTTTTCAATTAGAAAAAAAGAGAGACAAGTTCAATGGATTGCTTTGAATATTACTGTTAGTCAAATAAATGAGTCAAAATGTTTTATTTTTGGAAAGCAAAATCAGAGAATCCTAGAGTGAGTTTGACACATCTTGAAATACTGTTTATTAATTATTTCAGTAGCTATTATATAATTTACTCATAAGCTTGTATTCAATAATTATTTTAAATGTTTTAAATTGAAATAAAATTACATAACCCCCCCTTCCCCCCATTGCCTTACTTCAGCCCCTGCTGGTTAAACCTCTCTATAAAATCTCCCATGTCTTCCCTAATATCATTTTGATAACATTTTTTTTGGTTTTTCGAGATAACATTTTTCTTTATTATTTTTACATATATGTATAAATATTTAAAAATTTCTTTGACCAATCAATCTATTTCCTATATAGTATCTTCGGTGCCTGAAATTCTCTCTTTCATCTCTTGGATTCTTCTGTGTTTGCCCAGATATTTCATTTCCAGAATTCCCTTGGTTTGTGTTTTATTTATTGCCTCTATTTCCGATTTCATGTCCTGAGTTGTCTCCTTCACTTGGTTGATTGCTTTTTCTTGGTTTTCTTTTAGGGATTTATTGATATCTTACAATTTTTTGTTTGTCTTTTCCTCCATTTCTTTAAGAGAGTTTTTAATTTCTCTTTAAGGGCATAATAATACTCATAAAGTTGATCGTTAGGTTGTTTTCTTCTACTTCATCTGTGTTGGGATGTTCAGATCTTACTGTTGTATCACCACTAGATTCTAGTGGTGCCTTATTGCTCCTTATATTGTTGCGTGTGTTCTTACCTTATTGTCTACCCATCTCTTCCTCTAATCGGTACAGGTGGAGTTTGTGCTTCAGGGAGTCTCTCTCCAACTAGTATAGATGGGGAGTGTGGCTCCACGTATGCCTCCTTTAGGCACAAGTAGAGTAGAGATTCTACTGAACGATCCTCCTGGTGGAAGTGGGCACAATGCTCAGGTGGTCATTGCTTGAGGTGCAAGTGGGGCTACAGCTCCGGTGGACGCTCCTCCCGCTGGTGATGTAGGTGGGGCTGAGGGTCCAGTGGTCAACGTCGAAGCCGGGTATCTCCAACCAAGAAATGGCAGTGGATGCTGGCTGGGACACAGGTGCTCTTTCCCAGATGAACTTTTTGCGATAGTTTCTGGAAGCTACTGCTGGAAACCGCTGCTGTTGTTTCACCAGGCGGTCACTCCTTGCTCCTGGGCCTGCGGCTGGGGCCTCCTTCTGACAGTGCTCCCAGGTCTGGGGCTCATGGCTCCTTTGATGCTGCTGGGGGCCTGAAGCTCAAACCTCCCTCTGACACTGCTGCCCCAGGTCTGAAACTCAGCCCTGCCTCTGAAGTTTCTTCCAGGTTAGGATTTGGTTCTCTCACTCATATATATATAATGTGTGTAAGTACATGCATGTGTGTTTATATAAACCTGAGTCTATTCTTGTTGTTTGTGTGTATATGGTTTCAAAGCCTACCACTCTGCACTGGACAGGCTCATCCCAGGGAGACGTTAATTCTCCTTTTCTTAGCAGTCATTAGTGTCCTAGCAGATCTAGAGGTGGGATCCATCGAAATTTCCCCTTTGACATTAAGGGTTAATCGCCTGAATTGCACTGCCCAAACATTTGAAAGGAGGTGTCTCTTGCCTGGTACTGGGGTTTGTATTAGTCTGTGGTTCTTGTGAGGAGCATTGTCAGCTCAACTGTGTGTGTGTGTGTTATGTGTAATTTTAGATAAACATAAAGTAATATGATTATTTGAGACTTCATTGAACAATCTTGGTATTGTCTCTTGTCCCTCCCTCTCCTTCTGTACTAACCTCCTTCTTTTCTCCCCAATTGAAGGCCCCTCCCCATTTTTCTGCTTCCTACTTCACATTACCTATCTCCTGCTATTCTTCTCTTACTCCATCCATGGTCCACTCCTGCTTTCCTGGTTTCTGTGCTAACTCCACGTTGTTGTGGGCTTTTGATTGAGATTGCATTGAGTCTAAATTGCTACAATTCACAATATTAATTCTATTTATCCATGAACATGAGATGTCTTTAAACTTCCTAACATCTTTCTCAATCTCTCTCTTCAGACATCTGCGTTTTCATTGTAGATGTCTTTCATCTCTTTAGGTTTATTCCAAGATATTTTATTGTCTTTGATGATATTGTAAATAGGAGTCTATACATGTTTCTTTGTCAGTGTGTTTGCTATTGGTAGTGTGTTTTTGCTTGGTATATTGAAAGGCTAATTTTTTTTGAGACAGGGTTTCTCTATATTGTTTTGTAGGCTGTCCTGGAACTCGCTCTGTAAAACAGGCTGGCCTCAAACTCACAGAGATCCGCCTGCCTCTGCCTCCCGAGTGCTGGGATTAAAGGTGTATGTCATCAACTCTCGGCAAGGCTACTCATTTTTAAAGGCCGATTTTTCAGCCCTGTTACTTGACTAAAATTGTTGATCATTTCTAGTTTTCTGGTGGGATTTTTAGGATCTCTTATGTATAACCATATCATCTGCAAATACTGATAATTTGACTTCTTTTCCTATTTCTATCCCTTTAATTTCTTCTCTTGCCTTTTTACTCTGGCTAGTGCTTCCAGCAAAATATTGAAAAGGAGTGGGGATGATGGGTAGCCCTTTCTTTTTTCTGATTTTAATGGGATTTCTTTGAGTTTTTTTTCCATTTAGGATAATATTGGCTGTAGGTTTGTCATATGTAGCTGTTATTATGTTGAGGTATGTCCCCTCCATTACTACTCTCTCTAGGACTTTTATCATGGAAGCATATTGAATTTTGTCAAAATATCTTCTGCATCTATTGAGATAATCATGTGATTTTTGTCTTTAAGTTTATTATATATATATATTTAATACCTGAATTTCCAGGATAAAGCCAACTTGATCACATTGAATGCTTTTCTTGATATGTTCTTATATTCAGTTTGCTAGTATTTCATTGGAGATTTGTGAATCTATGTTCATCAGGAATATCAATTTGTAGTTTAGTTTTTTGTGTGTTTTATCTTTACATGATTTGGGTACCAGAG